ACAGATGAAGAGCTGACCAGTAATCTTAAACAAAGCCCTGCCTGAACCCAGGCTGTCGGCCTTATGTGGGACTCGAGGATTATGTTACGGCTTTCATAGAGATACTCACATCCGCAGGTGAGTCTGCATCCCCCACCAGCAGACACAGGCCAGCATCCCAGGCTGCTCTGGAGGCTTCCCCAGGCTTGCATATGCTGATGGGAGCCACAACCCCCTTACAAGCTCCCGGCTGGTTGTACACACAGATATGGCCCAGGTGATTTGTAGAAACACCCAAAGGTCTAAACTGGCCAAACTAATCTTTGCAGGTTTGCTGGCTGGAGGAGCAACTGTGGAAAAGAGCTGGACACCGAGCAGTTCCCGTCCACAGAGGGCTTGAGCACCAGGATGCCCCACAGGCATGAACAGTTGCCCTACAAAGAGCCGTCGCTGCCTGCCTGGAGCACGGTGTGTGGGCACACACCCCCCAAGGGCCCACGCTTTAATCGTAATGCATAGAAATCCGGGCCGTCACCTTGCCTGCTCTGCCGGTGTGGGGCAGCTCACATGTTTGTCTGAGCCAGATGTGTTCCCAAAGTCTTGGCTTTAATGGCACTTTGTGAAACAGGTTGGCTTCTCCACTGCAGCCCCAACTGCTGAGAAATCAATCATTACCAGCAGTTAGCTGTTTGATGGTTAACAGCCTGAACCGAAGCCAAACTGGTTGTTAATTGGGCTAACAACTGATTTCAAGGGGTTGTTTCGCAGGGCCCAACACTCCCAGCAATTGACTTGGAGTTGTAACTAGCAGCCAGGCGGCAATTAACGGAGCCGAGGGAAATTCGCAGGCCATTACCAAAGGGCCGGCTCCCAGCTGGGCATCTGCTTCTCACGGGCGACAAGGAGTGCAGCCACGTTCCGGCACCTGAGCACCCAAGTACAGCCAGCACACAAAGTCCCATTTCACATCTCAGCAGCCCAAATTTTCCTGTCGATGTGCGGCTTGGGTCTTGTCATCCTGCAGCTCAGCTGCTCCAGCAGCTTTCTCTTGGTTTTTGGATGTTGCGATTGGAGTTTTCTGCGTGTTTCCCACGAAACTCCACCAGGACGAATTTCAGCCCTCCTTCCAATCCCTTCCCAGGCTTCTCTTTTGCTGGGGCAGAAACCAGACCTGTGGTTGGGTCTGTCTTGCCAGCTTATGCCACCTGCTACAGCCAACTGTACAAAACAGCACATGTCTGGGGCAAGGGCTTCTGTTTACTCTATGGGCACCTCGAAAAAGAAGAGATTCCAGCCACCAAGATGTGCTACTACAGCAGAAAGAGTTGGCAAAATAATCACAGCAAGAGTGAGGCTGAGTTTTTGCTTTTTCTATTATAAAATCTTTAAGAGAAAAAAAAAAATTAAAAGAGACTCTTGGCCAGACTGGCAGGAGAGGAGACATGACCATGTCTGAAGGTGGTTACTCCAGGGCTGCACAGAGGGCTTGAACGGGAACAGAGGGAACAGACCAGGCACCCACCGAACTGGGGAGGCTCTGACAGCCCTCACTGTCTCGTTTCCAGTCCACAACGATTGAAAGCACAAGCTTAGCAAAGCGGTGATATCTGGGCATAACTGGAATGGTTCTTCCCAACACAGCCAAGCCTCTCCCAACCTCTGAGCTAGGACTTTACAACCACAGATTGCATCTTGGTCATCACATCTGACAGCCTGGAGGGGCCTTCTGCTGCTACAGCCACCATGAAAGTAGGAGAGATGCTGTAAGTTACACGAAGCCCATGAGCATTCCCTCTGCTCCCAGTACAGCACACCTAAAGTGTGTTTCATTGTGGAGTAGCCTGGACCATTAAGCAGGTAATCTGGAGTAATGGCTGTAATCTTCAACCCTTCTACACATGAGGCCTCTCTCATCCTCTGGCTGAGGTGGCACAGGGCCAGTGGTTGGACAAGCAGCTTTGCTAGAGCCCAGCACCACTTCATGCTGACTCTGACCCAGAAAAGCTGCAGGTTCCCGTTGACCAAATCCCAAATACCCCTCCAACATCTTCCAAGAGCTCCTCTGGTGCACCAAGCCACAGCTGCCGTGTGTCCCCAGACACATGGATTGTCACGCCAGAGGACACACATTGTGCCTTCTCAGTCCAGGAGGAAGGCAAACAGCAAACTTGGCTCCTAAAGTTCTTCTGCAGCAAAGCCAGAGCAGCCACCCCAAACTGCTTACCCCAGACCTGGAGGGCAGGCTCCGGCCCCGACCATAAAGCAAAATGTGGCTGCGGCTCCCTGCGACCCTGTCCTGAAGGAGATTTCCAGGAGAAAGGTTGGGGGGTGTCCCCATTTCTAGGGGAGAGCTATTACTTCTGTAAGCATGCATGGGGAGAGGGCAAAGATGGGAAGTGGGGCGGTAATGAGGAGCAGACTTGTAGGTGCTTAGAGCATCCCAGGTGCTACAGAAGTGCTAAATGTTATTCTCATGGCCAGGAAACAGGCTGTGAAAACCCACCATACTCCACATCCCCTCGATCTGTGCCTTCTCCAGGATCCGGAGCCGACTCTCCCCATCAGCCCTAGGAAAACAGCAGCAAGCCTGGAGGTGCCTTTGGCTGTGGCCATGCTGGGACACCATGGTCAGAGAGGCTGTGCAGAAAAGAGAGGAGCACAGAGACCAAGGCTCAACAGGAGAGCTGGGTCTGGTCCACGTGTGGCCAAGAAGGCTTTGAACACTGTCATAGCACAACACAGTCCCCCAACACATGTATTTCAGTAGCAGCGTGAAAAGATGCTTCCCTACGCAAGAC